CGGTTCAGGGCTTGTTCCTGAAAGTGCTTTCTGTGTGCAGTCCCGTTATCTTCAGAGGGATTTAGATTTTTATATATTTTTTTTTAAATATAGAGTTGAGCCCTTTCCATCTTGCCCAGAATTAGTGGGTTATATTCACAGTGCTTTCCTGCTTGGTTGTCAAAATATTCTGCAGGATATGCTGGCTCTACAGTTTGTTTAATAAGGTTAATATATGCACGAGTTATTTAATATTCCTAATAAGATTAGGGAAGATGAAATGATCCTGGAAAAATTCCTCTTGTTGTGGCATCAGTTTGTACTTACAAAGTAAACCCAGTAAAAAGCATCTTAAAACCAATGCAGTATTTTCCGTGCCAGTGCAATCATTTGTCAGTGCATGGCTTTGCTTCATATTCTCAATGTGCCAATGAACTTGAAAAGTCATCCTAAATAGAGCTATTTCCAAGGCTGGGAGAGATAAGGGCACGATGATCCTGCGCCGTTCGTACCACAGAGCCTGGAAGCTGCCCGTGAAAATCCCTATCTTTTCTTTTCGGTCAGGCAATGCTCCTAAAGAGCTCAAAATTATTCAAACTCCCATGGCAGTTTTCAAAGATAAAGTGATCAACTTATGTAACTGGTCCCATTTTTATTTTTATTTTTTTTTCAGGAAGATCTAACCCCAGAGCTGAAGGGCAGGGAGAGGCTATGGGTGTCAGACATGCCATGCCATTGTAACACTGCACTATAAATACTGCCTATTTTTTAAAAAGCTGAGTTCTATTTCCAAACCATCTAAAGCTGTATTTCTTTCAGTTAGTAACGTCTGCTCTAATAATAGGTGATTTTGGTGGGTTTTTTTTCAATACCAAAAAAATTGTTTGTCAGGCATTTCAGGGAAACTTCCAACTAGGAGCAGTGAGCCACATCCTTAGTTCATTTACTCATAAATATACATCCAGATTAACTCTGGAAATATTGGTGCAATTACTGTAGATTTACGGTAGTTGTAGAGGGTTGGAAACAGCGTGGTGCATCTTATATAAGAAAAACTGGATGGTGTTCATAGAATTAAGTAGTTAAGCACTAGATCCAGAAGTTAATGACATAGAATTTATTTTTTTGCTTATATTTATTTATAAGCAAAGAAATTGAAAGTTGGAATGAAGGTGAATTTTAAAATGTGGGACCCAGTACTGCAAATTAATAGCTAAGTTTGCACTTAGTGAGTACATGGATGTGCATGATGGAAAACTGGAGATGGGCAGTAGGGTTGAGTCCTCATTTTCTATTCCTGTCTCTTTTCTGTTATTAATAAAGAGTTTGGGAGATCTTCTTGGGTTATTATAAAAGGCTGAATTTTGTTAAAATTCTTTATTTTTTGCATGTCTCAGTATCTAGTGATATGGTTTCTCCGTGTTGTTTTGTTGTTGTTGTTTCTTTGTTTTTAAGACTCATCTTCTGGAATCTTACCCTCCATTTTAAACAACCCCCAAATTAGTAATTACCCAGCCCTCATGTTTCCAGAATAAAGCTGTGAAATATTTCCCAGAAATATCCTAGTGCTTAGCCCAGAAGCAATTGATTTGTTGGATAAAACATTGCATATTTTGGAAACAAAGCACAATTTTAAAATGTTTAGTTAGAAATCCCAAAACCATATTCTCATCCTGAAGTCTATAAGTACTTCAGTGCAGATTTTTTAAGTCAGATGTCCATGTTTTGAACTTTAAATGGAAGATATAAACTAGGCTTTATCTGTACAAAAAATAGAACTAGTTTGTTTTAAAGTTAAGGCACTTGGAGGGCAAATTAACATTTGAAGCTCTGGATTTTGCAAGATGGGCATTAGACTGGGACATTAGTCCCAGTAGAGAAAAACACTTGAATATACTTACTGCATTTTCTGAAATAGGCATACTTTCTAAAGTCTTGCCTATTGATTATTTATCCCCAAAATGGGGCATGAATATTCAAGATGCATGAATATTTTCAGTAGGAGTACGTTTTGGAAGGATTTATCCAGGACAAACGCACAAACAAACTGTGTATGACTTACAGCAAGTCATTAATAGTAAATACAGATGGAGCCTTTGAAGCTCTCCAAGTCTGCCGTTTCACATATGCCCATAGTTTTTGGAGGATTATATATTTGAACACAGAAGATACCAACACAGTCATAACCGTGGTCTTTGTGTAACACGTTCTCTCCAGCAAAAAATAATGGAGCACTTCTAGTTCGTGGTCCTGATAGACCGTCGGTGCTGCATCATTGCTTTTTTCCTCCATGGATCATAGAATCACAGAACCATTAAGGTTGGAAAAGACCTCCAAGATCTCCAAGCCCAATCTCAACCCACTCCCACTATGCCAACTGACCATGTCCCCAAGTGCCACAACTCCAGGATTCTTGAACACGTCCAGGGACAGGGACTATTTTTCTAAAAGAAATTATTCCTAATATCCATTGTGCAGTGGATGGGTATTCACATTCCAGATTATGAATGCCATTTGTGTAACCTCAAAATATAATCTATCTTTACTCCAGATAAAAAAAACCTGCCGCCAATCAGAGAAAACAGAGGTATGAAAGTGGCTTTGGACACTTTGCCTCTTTCTACCCCTAGACAGCAGACTTGAGGTATAGTTAGATTTTTGACTTAATTGAAACCAAGCCTCTCTGAAAGCAAGCTTAGATGCCCATATATCTCTGGGTCTGCACAGCTTTTGTTTTCCATCGTGCTGAACACAACTTTTGCATAGAGAAGGCCCAAGAGAATTCTGGTGGAGCTATTAGGAAGGGAAGTGATTTTTTTGTAGACTGATTAAAATTCGTTGGGCTTTCTGTTTGTTTGTTTTTAAACACCTATTTAGCTTTTAATTAACATTTAAGAGAAAGGAAGCTGGTTAAATATTCAATACCTCCTCCCTTTCAATTAAGGTATAACAGTACACAGCACTTGATGAGGCCTCTGGGAAGTATGGAAAAACAGAAGAGCAGACTCCTGATTATCACTTTGAGGGGGACTGGGAAGGTGAAACTCATCTGATTGTTGTTATTATTGCCATTAACAATAATAATGTCGAGGCCCTTTTATGAACAGCAGAAAGCAGTTTAAGAATGAGGCTGATTCTTTAAAACCCAAATGCTGGGATTTGCATTTAAATACCTTCACTTTTCCCATCCTGTTCTTTACTTATTTGGGAAGCGAGAATGGTTGATATTTACAATTTAACAAGTACTCTTCCTAAACTTAATTTTTTTCTTTTTGATTGTGTGTTCTCATTTATTTTAGACTTATCTAACAAAACACTTATTTTATTAACAATCCTGCTTAAGAGTGCACTATATTAAATTAAACATTTTACACTACGGGGCAACTTACAAGCAGTGCTTCGAGAGTGATATATAGTTTTCTTTTTGTTTCTTTTGCTTCTTTTAATTTGAGAGACAGCTCACCTGCAGAAAATGCATTGTTCATATCAAATATCATATAGTAATGATTTTTTTTAATAGTTGTGTTATGTAAACAGATTTGAATGGCACTAATGGCAGCAGGTGTCAGTTGTGCAAATGTGTACACCCAAATGAGCTAATTTTTTTTTTAAAGAAAGAAATAGGAAGAGAGAGCAATGCTGAAGTGCACAGCTATTGGATACGTTTCATATCTTAACATTTCAAGGTTTACAGGACATAAGAGTGCATAGGTTTTTAAAACGTAAATAAATGTTTTGCAAAAATATTTCTGATTGCGTAGAAAACAAGACTTTCCAATTCAACTCCACAATCAGCTCACTGTAGTGACCTGCTATTGATGCTCTGTGTCTGTGAGCTTTTGAGTAGCTGCTGTCTTACCTGTTGTGTTCAGTGCTAGGGCTTTTCATTTTCCCGCAACCCAAGATAATTTCTCCATGACTCTTTCAAATACATAAATAAATGAGGAGATTTACATATGTCTTCCTTGTGGTTATTCATCAGTAGTTAATGATGTGCACTTAGCAGCTGGACAAAAACCAAGAATTAGTCCAATTAGCTCAATAGCTGCCTCCTTACCAAATATTTCTTAATTATTGAGAGTCCTTCTATACTTCAACTTTAAGTAATAGAAAATCTTCTATTAATTTCAGTGAGAGTGGTATTTTGTCATGTAAAAACCTGTTTCATGGATTCTTTTAAAACCTTGTTCATATAAACTACAGAAAAAAAGAAAAAAATCACGTTTTCAGAGGACTATCAAAATAAAGGCTTAAATCTTAGAAGCCTGTACCAGGAAAAGTATCTTCGATCTCAGCTAGAGTTGTGTTTGTAAATGACATCTGGATGTTGTAGAGAAACCTTAATCTTAATCGTTTTTTCTTTAATTTTATTTTATTTTTCTCCATGTTTTCTGAAGCAGTTGAACAATAAAGACAATTCTGATGAAAAGTGATATTGGTAAATCAATAACTTTTTTCCTTTCTTTTTTTAAGGTGAACACACACAAGAAACCAATTCACCTCATTCTCTGAAGAAGGATGTAGAAAACATGGGGAAAGGTAAAAATAAATCAGTGTCTCTTCTGTTAGAAAACTGCTCTTTGTTTTAATAGAATATGAGGATAATAGGGGGCATTTTTGTTCTGCACCATATTTTAAGCTTGTCAAGTAACATATGAATAATATATGGACCTTTGGGTGGATATAATTGAGATTAATGCATATATATCAATCAATACATGACACTGTAATATAATACTTTAAAATAATATATTACATTGATTTATATTCATGGCTTTCTGCACAAAATCTATTGTAGGTCTACGCAACACTTTTTTTTTCTTTTTAATAACTGCTAAAATATTTTGTCTTATCGTAATGAATTGCTCAGTAACTGTTCTCTCAAGAATTATTTCCACAGATTAGTAACACCACTTTTCTTTCCTTCTTTTCAGAGGAACTCCAGAAGGTTTTGTTTGAACAAATTGACTTACGGAGGAGGCTGGAGCAGGAGTTCCAGGTGTTGAAAGGAAATGCATCTTTCCCAGTATTCAGTAAGACACGTATCTGTGCTTTTGGCTTTTTTTTTTTTTTTTTTTTTTTTGAGAGTTGTTGTTTGTTGTTGAGTTGTGAAAAACAGGAGAAGCATGTTCTCAGTTGTATTGCCAGGATTTTCAGCTGAGGTTGATGGCACTTCCACTGTGGCTTTTCAGGCTTTTCAGGCTGCCAACATCAGTCTTTTGTAGGAAAAATCTAGATGTCCCTTTTGGTGTGCATTCTAAAATGAAACAGACAATTAGAAAGGTTTTCGTGAAATTATCAGGACGTTGAACTGCAGGCACAAGGAAATAGTAAAAGACATAAAGATGGAGAAAACGTGCATTCATGCAGAAGTTGGCTTTTTGATAACTTCTCTTAACTCCTGCATGACGAAAATATCTGACCAGCCCTCAGGCTGGTTTCCTGGAGCTACCTGAAAAGTTCAAAAGCTCTCCATTCTTAAAAAGTCCGAGTTGCTTCCTAAAAACTCCAGGGACAAAACCCACCATTGCCAGAACCCCAGTTCAACAAACACCTCAGCTGCAAGCTGAGGAATGTTTGGATCACAAGAAGAGGTGGGAATACAGATTGTGTTTTCTTGTTATTTAAAGAAAATACATTTGTCTGCTTTCTGTAAATAAGGTAAATTCAGAGAAATGCAAGGCAGGTCTCTGGAAATGACTCCATCTTTAGCTCAGATCTCGAAAGCTTCATAAATAAAGGAGAGTCTGAAGTGGTATAGATATTAATGAAAGGAGATAACCTCATCCTTCAGTATAAATTCAGTTATTACGTGGGTTTGAGAGTGAGGTAATTTTCAAATAATTTGTATAGATCAAAATGCTTGATGTGTGGTATTGGTAAAATGGCATCTTGGAGTTTTGCCATTCGGGTCACTCATTTATCCTTTTGTTCTTCTACAGTAAAATTAATGCTCTGTCATTGCCATGTAAATAAACAGCGCAATTAAACCACATGAAATACAATTCAAATAAAAGAAAAGAACACATACGGCTGACCAAGGAAGTGGCGACTGCGTATGCCGACTTGAAAAATATGTGGTTTCAACATACCACAAAGCAGTGGTCAATTTTCTTCAGGATTAAAATAGAAAACAGATAATGTGCTATAAACAATATATGTAAGTGACCGTAAAACCTATTTACAGATTTAGATTTACCAAAAAAACCCTCCTCCACATGTAATAAAACAAGAAAATGGGTCTTTGTCAAGCAAGTAAGTGTAAAATCTGAGATAAGTGCGGTTTGTCCTCTAGAACAGTATGTGGTGCAATGAAAGAGATGGGGCTGCTGCTTCAGGTCAGGTGTTAGAAGCTATTTGTCTTGCAGGTTTCCCTAGTAAAGATTCTAACTGCTTGTGATGGTGCTGGATAGGAAAAAGCTAGAGAGAAAAATCATAGAAAACCCAACTAAAGGAGAGTAGTGTCTGAAAACCGACTAAGGAAAGTACAAATAAAATCGTACTGATGGACTTCTCGAGGCTTGGAGACATGTGGGTCTGCAGGAGGAAGAGAACAGTAGGTTTGCATCCCAGTCCGGAGCAGCCATGAGGACTGAACCTCTGTCCTCCACGAAGGTGCTGAAGGCAGAATCCTGCACCGACTTTACCTCTGGTGTGGACAGGCTCACGTTTTTTAACGATGTGGCAGTAAAACAGTAGATACGTAGTAGTAGTTAAAGTATTTAAGTTTGTGTTAAGAAAACTCTTTAAATATTCATCTCTTTTCTCCTGGGCATTGCTCCTGGCTTTGTCTGCCGCAGGAAGGAGAAAAAAAAAAAAAAAGCGTTATCCTCACCATTAACCCCATTTGCACATCGAGTTTGCAGTGCAGGACTGAGCAGGATTTCTGAGCTGTTTGTACCGAGCCTGTGAAGAGATGTTCAGGGAAGAGAGGAGATGAGGAGAACTTCTTTGTGTAGCCTGCTCCTATTGAAATGAAACTGGAAGAGGACCTACAGAGTAGCTAGCATGGTGACAAGAGACCATCACCTTTTGTCCCACATGGCAATTTTGGTAAACAAGGGAGAAATTGTAAACTGGCTTGCATTCTTTTTCCTTTCAAGTTGGAGAGGAAAAAACAGGCTGATAAAATGAAACTTGAAGAAATTCCTTAAGATGTCATTGCATTCTTTTCAATGTAGCCATGCTGGACTCCTGCTGGTTTTAGCTAGACAAATTTTCTCTCCATTTGTTTTCCTGATATTTTCTCACCATCCTGCACTGCCTCCATGCCTCTTAAGCAACATCCTTTGCTTTTCATTTAGACAGGACCGAATTATTGTGTGAAAGACAACAGAGCTCTGCCCCCTTCTAGTTTCTTCCAGCCCTTCCCTGTGCCCACACCTGATGGGGACATATCTCCTTTTCCCCAAGGCAAGGCAGCTCCTGCCACTCCATTGTGATTTGTTCTGTCTTCTTGCTTCTGCTTTTGGTTTGAGAATGTAGTGAGCTTGTGGGACTCTGCAGAGAACGAGTGTGTTCCCAGGCCCACAGCAGCACATGGAGCATTGATAGGAGATATTCCTCATCTGGGATCAAATCTTTCCAGTGCAATTTTGGTATTTTTGTGACTCCCATTACTGTCCTATCAAAGTATCCCACAGTCATTTAATCTATTAATCCTCCCTGTGCTCCAGGCAGATGAAGCAGTGCTATTATTCCTGATTTATTGGTGAAGAAACAAAGCGTGGCGAGACATATGCACAGAGCTTGGAGAACAGCTACTGAACTGAGGCTCCATGAGTTCTGGAGCCATGGCCCAACAGTCAACATGACTGTTGAAGTCTTTTAATTGTAAATAAGCCATTCTGGCTGCTTTGGCCTTTTAGTACTCTTCAGCAAGACCCTGCCAGAGCTGAAAGGTTGTGCCATAACCCAGCTGACTGGGAAGGTGTGGTCTGTCTTTCAATGATTTCTTCCTATCTGAATTCCACGTCACTCTTTAAGGAATTTGAGCTGCATTCAAAATTGTCAGCACAATGTTGTAAACTACAAATCAAATCCTGTATCCTTGAACGCTTTCTGTTCTCACATCCTGGATGTCCCTATTGACGTCAGCAGATTTATACCAAAGCAAAGCAGCTTTTGCTGTTATCTCCAGTTCTTGTAGAAGTTTGACTGATGACTGCAGAGTCTGGTCCATTGAGAACATCACTGTGGGCATGAAAGTTAGCAAGAGAAACATAGGAACCTACATCTGTAAAGTGGGGGAGAACAGCTGGATCTCTTTTTTCCAAAGCTGTTTCCTCATCAGCAGTACCTCCTATTAGATAAGATTTTGTTAGGTATATCATACAGAAAGACTTTGGTGTGCTTCAGTTGGGTTTGGTTTCAGTTGATTTATATGAATTCTGCTATGGTCTCTATTTTAATTACTGCATTTACTTGTCTTTTTTTTTTTTTTTTTTTTTCTCCTCTTAATAGATAATTTTCAAGATCAGATGAAACGAGAGCTGGCATACAGAGAAGAAATGGTGCAGCAGCTACAAATTGTGAGTCTATGTCTTCGACTAAAAATGTTATGAACTATCACTTTGATTTTTTAAGTACAGCCTCATCTTTTTCCTCTGGAAGCCATGTAGATGTAATATTACAGATCTCACATTCCCTTATGCTTAGGAACACGTTAGCATGCAGTTCTTAACTGGTTTAGAGCCTAATTACCTGGAGATTTACTTTCATACCATAACCAGATGGATCTTCATCTTTCAACTCAATGGAATGTGCTGACTGAACACTGAGACTACAGCTTTCCCGAGTCAGGCTTGCCAAAAATCTCCACATCTGAATCAGCCCTCTGCTTGAGAAGCTCAGTTTTCCTCTTGCTGAAAATGGGAGGGGTTGTTGTCTTCTGGTGCTGTCATTTTCTACTTGATGGGTTAGGACATAAAAATAAAGCTGAAGGCCACAATTGTCAAACATGTTGTACTGTGCTCCAAGGCATTTAGAGTGGCCTTATTTTTAGAGCTCTGAGCTCCCTGTTCCTGCTGACTTCAGAGATTTCAATGAGAGATGGAGGGTGTTAGAAGGAGGTTGTTTCATGGAGAAAATCGACTGCCAGACCATTTTGGAGGGGTTTCTCTTTCGCTGGTCTCCACTCTTTAACATGTAGAGTTGTTACTGTGTTCCCCTTCATCTCCCAGTATCTGGCAGAGAGTTTCATTGGAATCCCATTGGCCTTGTTGGCTCACACCATGGATAAACTAAATCGTTAGGTTCACATTAAAAAGCAGGATTTATTTTGATATATTTTGTCTGTTGTTTTTAACAAGGATAGGTTATTTTGGTTTGTTTGTACCTGGAACACTGTTGCATTGCTTTCACAAAGTTGCCCACATGCAATTTTCTTGTTATTGCAGTGCAAAGAGAAAAGATGAAATTTTTAATGCGTACTCAAATCACAATTTTTCTTTCAGCTTCATAGATATGTAGGACTAAACACAAAAATTACTGGCTTAACTAGCCACAGAATTTGGCTTTGTCATTTTTATTTTTAAGATTATATAAATGAGTTGGTTTGTTGTTTGTTTTGCTGTTGTTGATTTTTGTTTGTTTGCTTGCTCACTTGCTTGCTTTTCTCGCTATTGTGTGCATATAAAACTTAAACTAGCTCTTCCTGAACATTTCAATATCACCATGAAGGCATTTGTTTGTTTAAAAGCACTTCTGACATTGTGAAACTGCAATGCAGAGCACGATGATAAACTGCCACCCCAACAAACACGTGCAGGGGAGTCGCGCTGTTGGATGGCAGGCGATGGCTCAGACTCCAAGTGCCCTCTGCCGTCGCTCTGCCGCCACTGCACTGACAGCAACGAGGACGTGGCACAGGTTTTAACATTCCTCATTGAGAGCCTCACTGTTTAATCAATGAGTTGTAATTTTAATGCTTTGCCCACTCCGGACTTCGAAAAATTATTTTATGACTTCCTGAAAGTCAGGAGCAAGTCTCAGGTCTTTGAGAAAGTGTTCTGTTGCAATATCTGAAATGGATATTGACCTCTTCGGACACAACCTGGCTTGGTAGGTGGATGGAGTGTCGGACTCTGTGTGGCCATTGGCAATTTCTGTTAATAACAAGTTGGTCCGAGTGCCTGGAGCAGCTGCCAGGAAGCACTGCAACCATATGCCAAGCTTTCAGCCAAGTGCCAAGAAGCGATCAATAAATCATCATATTTAACAAGAAAATTGATCTTAAATCACTGAGTGTGCTTTTCTCTTCTTCCTGCCTCGAAGCATCATCTACCCAAATGGCTGAGTACGTGCAGGTCCCACTTTGCTTCAGGCATGGGTTGTGATCAACCCTACTACTTTTCCATGGGGATAAAGGCAGTAGGTCTTTGAGACGTGTTAGAAATGTGAATTGTTCTGACAGCCTTTTGTCTTTCCATCTGGTTTAGATGGGTTTTATATTCAGTACAGAGTCTTGGCTTCCACCCTACTGGCCAACTGTGGGGTGATAATAATGCTCAGTCCTCAAAATTAGATCCAGCTAGAACTCCTCTCATGTTCGATGTCCGATAGCCTCTAGCCCTCGGTATTACTTTCAACCAGCTCTGTTCTTTGATGGCACACAAGAAAATAAATCAGGAACTATCTGCCTGCAAAACTGATTTCTCTTCATCATCTTCTATCCCAATCTTTAAAGGTTTACACGTAGTCTTTAAAAGAGGGAAAAATCCACCCTGGTGTGGCATTCTCAGGTCTTTGGAGGTATGAGATCATGTTCCTTGGAGTCCTACTGTAATTAAGAAAAGCTCTAATAGGTTCAGTTCCTATTTTATGCTGTACATAGAATGTTGAGGCTTCATACAATGAATGTATTCATGATACATGCAGGGAATATTCACATTGTTATGTAGGTTTGCAGAGATGTTGGTCACTGCATGCTTGTCACTCCATAAGTGAGAATAGAAATGAGAAATAGTGGTGCTTAAAAATATTGATTTGATTTTGGTGGAATCATCTGTAGTTAAATCAGGATGGAAATCAGTTCTACATGCATAATCCCAGGCAGAGTTCAGTTCCCAGGAAGCCAAAGTGGATGTGCTCCAGGAAACTTATCAAAGGCATCTTCTTGCCCTTTTAAGTACTGATCCTATCTTCACCCAAACACTCACTCTGGATGCACAAAAAGGGATTGTAGTGTCACGAACAGCCCTAAATATTGTTCTTTTGCAGCACTGGATTCACAAAATGTTTGTGCAACTTGAAAAGCAGATGACATTGCACGTGATTTAACTTGTGAAAAACTCTCCCTGCTGAATACCACCCCTTCCACTTTCATTTATTACTGGGAGCATGCACAAACCAACACACATTGAAAAGACACCGATGTGCCAAATATAGCAGAAAAAAACGGATTGAGAACAGTCCCTTTCTGACAGAATGTACCTCGTTGTGTTATCTAGGTCAGCACAGCTTGGGAGATGTCCTATATAACTGACGGCCATGCAGAGTGATGTTGGGAGTGAGAAGGAAGTAGAAACATCACAGGCTCAGCTGAAACGTGCTTATTCAGCCACTTGTTGGTGGCTCCCTTTGCTCCCAGATTTGAACTGATCCTGTTAGCTCAGAAGTCATGAAAATGAATTCATGATTTCAACACATTTGACATTACTTCTGAATATATCACAGAGTTCCTAGAAGCAGAAGCGTGTCACTTCGGTCTGCAGCAGCACTGGGAGTGGAGGTGCATAAATTTTGTGATCCCAATATGATTCTTTCCAAAAGACAGCTATTCACTATTGAGGAATAGTGAACATGTAGCCATTTGGATTCCCACCTACAGGGAAATCTCAGAGCAATTTAGTTTTGTTGCATTTTAAAGAGCTGTCCCATACTGCATTCCCAGCAGCCTACGAACACATCATCCCACTTTGTTCCTAAATATAACTACGTTCCCTAATATACCTATGTTCTCTGTTTTGCTTTAATTATTTGTTCCACTTCAGTGGCTTTCCTCGGGTTTGTGCAAGGCAGAGATAGTTATTAAGAACTTCCTAATTATGGGGATATAAATACATGCAGACTGATACTCCCAACCTGCTGTATTTTGGCTGTGCTGAGATTCCAGCCTGCATTTGTTGTTAGCCAAACCTTGGCTTAAAACAGTGGCTTTTTTTCTGTGTTGTTGCAGATTCCCTATGCAGCAAGCTTGATCAGGAAAGAAAAGCTGGGTGCACACCTCAGCAAAAGCTAAAGGTAAGCTTGTGAAAGAAGGGGTGGGGTAGTATTCTGACTGGCCTGGCCATCGGATTTTTCTCTGCAGCCATTGCAAGAATTTAGAGAATCGTTTTGCTGTGTGATATTGATCCATTCCCACCATGCCCATTGACCATGTGCCCAGTTGCCACATCTCCACAGTTCTTGAACATTTCCAGAGACAGGGACTCCACCATCACCCTGGGCAGACTGTGCCAGGGCCTGACCATTCTTTGGAGAAGAAATTCTTTTCCTAATATCCAACCTGGACCTCTCCCAGTGCAACTTGAGGCCATTACCTCTTGTCCTAAATCATCACCCAAATTGTGAGGTTTCACTGGGGTGGGACATAGTGTTGAGAATTGACCACTGGTTGAACAAATGGCTTGAACAAGAGCTTCTGCTCTCTGACACCAAAAAAAAAGTTGCTTCAAGGAAATGTACCTTCAGCAGAAAGTGGAAAACTGCCTTGACATTTAATTCCAGGTGCTGAAGACTTAACATTTAAATTAACATTTACTTAGAGAGCTATGAGGCCCTGGCATTGCTGCCCAGAGAAATGTGGGTGCTTCACCATGAGAAGAACCCAAGGCTGGGTTGGTTGAATGGGGCCCTGGGCAGCCTGAACTGAGAAGAGCAGCATCAGCTGAACAGAACCATTTGTTCTCACCATTACGTTTCCAGCAGCCAGTAATCCCTGTAGGGAGGTCCCAGCATCACAGCTCCAAGAATTTCCTGTTTGTTTGTTGAGAGTGAAGGATGGATGTATTTCTTGTACCGCTTTTGTTGCCAGTGATGCACCATCCCTGCAGACAACAGGGATTTCTTTGAGTAGGCCCTGGAAGATTAGCTGTTATTTAACTGCTAAGCTAAACCAGTAAAGCAGAGAATCAAAACTCGATTGCTCAGATGCAACTTTGGATCCTCAATGTGCCAAGCAGGAGAGGTTTGTCGTAGTAAGAAATGTGCATGCACATCTATACCCATGCAATGCACCAAGGGAGTGAAGACCCTGTGCGCTGCAAAGCAATCACTCAGTTAATGCCCTGTGTTTTCCAGAAATCCTGTATTGCTCTTATTGGACCTTCTGTGCCAAATCAGGTCTTGTTGTATGTAGTCATATTGCAGTCAGTTACTCTTCATCTGTAATGGAATATTTCATGGCACTCTGAATTTTAACTAGCTAGTCTCAGAAGATGCATAAGCATAGAATCATAGAATCAAGAATGTTGGAAAAGACTTCCAAGATCCCCAAGTCCAACACATCCCCACCATCCTCACATGTCCCCAAGTGCCACATGTCCCCACAGTTCTTGAACACTTCCAGAGATGGGGACTCCATCACCTCCCTGGGCAGCTGTGCCACTGCATCACATTTTTTTTGGAGAAGAAATTCTTCCTAATATCCAACCCTGAACCTCCTCTGATCCAACCTGAACCTCCCCTGAGCAGGTGACTTTCGCGTATCCATTTTCATGGGACTGTGAGTAAGTGCTGTAATTCTGTGAGTAAAGAAATGCCAAATTTGGTCTTAGAGATGGTAACACTTTCTCTTTGTTTTGTTCTGTGGGATTTTTTGTTTTGTTTTGTTTTGTTTTATTCCTAGAAGCGCAGGACCTTTTGCAGCTGTTCCCTTGTAAATAATAACCCACCGTTCTGAAATCTAACTTGTATAAAGACTGATAAAATGGAAGTGCTTGGGGATATAAAGAACAAGTAAAACAAATCAGGTTCCTCCGAACTCAAGGACAAGTGACCTCAAAACATCATGGACAACCATGTTAAATAGAACGTAGCAGCCATTTATTAGTAAAAACAAAACAAACAAACAAACAAAAAAAAAAATCAAAAAATGCCTGTCCTGGATCTTTTTTGGTGGTACCAAAGTTTAAGTCTTTGTGTTTTTAGAAGGACTACTAAACCTAATAGAGGAAACGCTTTTGATGAATCACATACATAAGCAGTGAAGAGAACTGATGATCCTTCCAACGCTACAAACACTGACACCATCCGCCAGATCATCTTTTGCTTTTGCAGAGTGATTGTTTTATGGAAAGGAAAACGTGGCTTTGAGATGGAGCCTCACTGGGATGGAAGGATAAAAAAGCGTGAGCCATACACAGTGCTTTTTAAAAGCAGACTGGAAACTCTCATACCCCCCTCCTTGGTCCCTTTCTCCTCTGGTATTTTGCCTGCTGTATGAATTAAGATTGTACTCTTCTGGAAATATTTTACAATTTAATATTGAGTGTAATTAAGAATATAATCACTGTTATCAAAAAAGGTATTTAACTCTGTTGTAGTTTCTTTATCATTCATGTGGATAAAAAGTCTATAATAAAACAAAGAAAACTATGAGATAATAGCTGAGCTTCTCTGTAATTCAATGCTGTGCTTATTCCCCTGGAAAAAAAAGAAAAAGAAAAAGAATGGGGAAATTTGTCCCCAAGAATAGCTTCAGTTCACAGAACTTCAGTTCACAGGCCTGACAATGTGTTAACCAGCTGCCAGCTGAGTCCTTGTCAATCCTGCCCACCTTCTCTATGCCAAAATGGTTTCATAGGCAGCCATTGAGCCTCTTTGGTTGCCTTTCTTCCAACAAGTTGTTGTTGCTCCCCCAACAGAAGCAATCCTACAGCTTTCCTCTGCCTTTTTCTAATCAGCTGTATCCTTTGTGAGATGGGGAAATATCTGCATAGCACTCAGGACACAGGATATCATATAGATCGTAGTGTAGAGTGACACAGTGATGTTTTCCAATCTTTTCTGTGAAGAATGAACTCTTCTGTAGTGTCGTGGTAAAATGTATTACCACTACAGATCAAAACTTTTGCCCAGACATAAAGCAATCCCATTGCTCAATAAGAAATTACTGCCTTAATGGCTTCAGAGTGCCAGAGCTCCTGGATGTGGTCAGGAGAGCGGAGCAGCCTGTTGTCTCCCACCATGTGTTCAACCCCAGGAGCAGACACAAAGGATTTGCAGCAGATTTATTGCTTCTTTCTATTGTTCTGTTCTGTTCAGCAGAGCTCAGACCATCATGCTTCCCACTACAAGCTGTGTTTCTACATGTTGGTTTTGCAAAACTAACCAGCGTGCACAAACTGCATAGCTCACACAAATGAAGGATATTTAACTAATACGATTCTAATTTAATGTTCAAACTTCAACTCTGCACTCTCACTTTGTTACTTATGCTAAGCTCCCAGACAGAAAACAGAAGCACCACTTGCCTTGTTGGTAAATAACCTGCAGATCTCTACTGCAAACGTGAAGGTGGAACGCTGGTGAAGCGTGAACAAAATCTCTTGCATTAAAAACTCATCCCTCACACCGATAAAGCTCAAGAATGTGATCCTAGAAAACAAACACAGAGCAGCCACCGCCTAAGCAGCTCTCCTTCAACAAACATCCCATGAAGCTTCTTATCGCCCACTGGCTCTTGTTTGCTTTCCTCTTGCGACAAAATTGTACATGTTAAAGTGATGAGGTTCCCAAGGTAGCAGTAAGCTGTTGTGCCCTACACACTCAACCCTCAATGTGTTTTCTTTTTTCCACCGGCTGGTGTCATAAAGAAAAGGATGACCTATGTAGCTGACCTGTAGGATGACCTATGTAGGATGACCTGTGTGCCTATCCTAACGCTGCTTGTGTTGAATGCAACTTTGTAGATAGTTGTAGAATCATAGAATCAATATCCCGAGTTGGAGGGGACCCCTAAGGATCACTGAGCCCAGCTCCTGGCTCCACACGGCACAGCTAAAAATCAGACCATATATTATGATGGTGGCCCTGGTAGGTGAGCTGCAGACATCCTGGGGAGCAGTGCCTGGCATGGAGAATCAGCCCAGATCCACAGCCTTGTGGCGATGCAGAGAAGAAAGGTAAGAGCTTGCTGGTGATCTATTTTTATGGGTGTTGGATAGCTTTAATAGAGTAGTAAATCCATACACATTCAGGTTTTGTTACATGCAGCCTGTCAATACCTCTAAAAAATCTACAGTTAACCAAATCTCAACTTCTACAGCCACTAACACAAAAGGTGAGAGGTACTGCAGGTCTTGGTTTTAGCTTTTCTTTTGTCCAATCCCCTGAGAATGCAAATTAAACACAACGCAGACTGCATTTTGAGCTGTGATTTGAATTTTTGGAGTATTTGCATGAATAATAAACACATGCAGAAAGTTAATTAGAGGCTAACTATCCCTTTTTCTTACACAGAACTGGTCTTCCCCCTGCCACACACATCCCCAAACATTCTGAGCTCTGCCCTTCAGATGTGCTGCTGCTTCTCCAGGACCCAACTCCCAGACCGTTTGCTTCTGTGATACTTCAGCACCAAGCAAAAGCAGGGAGGTACGTGCTTTCCCTTGCTCCAAACATAGGAACAAATTTCTCCCATCCAGAACAGTAAGCTTAAGTGTTTCAAAGTGTCTCCAAGACCATAGATTTCCTCCAAACGTTTTCTTCCCATAATTTTTATGCAAAACTTTAGAATCATAGAAACACACTTCAGAATCATAGAAACACCCGTGTTGAAAATGACCTCAAAGGTCATTCAGTCCAACCACCCTTTAAGGCTCTTGCACCAAAAATTTTGGATAAATTTAGTAGTAGACAGAAAAAACAGCACCTTCTCAGCAAATCTGCATATTTGGGGCTGCATTAAAAAAAAGGAATTCATGGGAGCAAAGATCAGCACTGGCTCAGCACTTTTGCCCCGCTGGCTTTCAAAACAGAATGAAGCTGTACTCTGAAAGTACGTACATTCAGGGTGAATTTTTATTCACAAGAAAAGTTTGTGAGGAAGGGCTGTGAAGAGCTGCTTTGGTGCTGTTGATACTTGCAGGAGGAGCTGTAATTGTTTTGTGGCTGTTTACCTGCCTGCAGGGGAAAAAAAAAAGAAAAAAAAAAGTGTCATTCTCCATTGTTTTGAAAGCCCTGCTTACCTGCCAACCCCAAAACACCAAAGTGTACAGATGGAAAAAGGAGTCTCCACCCTACAGCACCCCGCCCTCTCTGCTCACAAAGCACAAATGCTTTGAGCAGTGATGAAGGTTTTGTTTTGTTTTGTTTTTCAAAAAAAAAAAACCTCAGTGTAGTTGCCAGCTCAGCTCCAGCAGCAAGGACAGAGAAAAAGGAGGTCCTGATCTGCAGTGATGCCACTTCCAAGGAGGAGGTGTGAGAAGAGGCAAGTGCTGCAGAGTGAGATTCACAACACCCTGCTCGTGGTACAGTGAAGAATAAGCTAAGCTAAGAATAAGCCAACACCAAAATA